CACCCTTAAAAAAAATCTGTTTTTCATGTTACTGCTTAGAGCAGCACCGTGGCCCTTTACAAAGGCAGTGGTGCCATGTGCTGCTCCCTCAGTGGCTCTTGTTTAGTCAAATTCAGAGTTTGTGGCCGATCATTTGGAATTTCCATCAGCTCTGCTCTGTGGGGCAAGGCTTGGCTGAAGTGGGAATAGAAACTTAACCACAGCCACGTGAATGTAAAATTAAAACACAGCTTGAAAGGCTGTGAAGGTCTTCTAAACCCAGCCCCGAGCACTTGATGGATGTTTGTGTCACTTGAGGATGCTCTAGGTACAGGATCTTCCATTCCCAGCCCAAATTTCCAGCCAGCACCACATACCAGACGTTATAAAATCATGAGACATTTTAATCTGGTAACACAGACAGACACACAAACTGCACATATTTACCAGCCACCTCCAGACCAAGCTTCCCCCTCTTTAATCACACAGCAGTTCTGTCTGTGGGTAGTTGGCCACCTCTCTCTGAGATAAAAAGGATGCTGTGAGTGTGGTGTGACTTTCTGCAGAGGTGTAATGACTTCGTGGATAAGTATGGGATGAGTCGTGGCCTGAGGCACCACTCAGAGGATGTTTCCCATGAGAAGCAAGCTTTTCTTTTTCCAATTTATCTCCATCAAATACATCATGACATATTCCCCACCCTGTGCAAAGGCTGAGTCTTGAACCCAGTGTGAAAAGCAAGCTATCCATGGAGGAAAACAGATTTTTAGTGCATTAAGTTCAGCAAGGAGTTCAGGGTAATATTTTTCTTGCTGGCAGACATATCACTTTTCTTTGAGAAATGTTTCTAAATTAAAGCCAGTCTAAAATTATGTCTTCCCCCAAAATAAGAGGTTAAAATTAGATGTGGTTGTTCCTGTATCACTTGAGCAGCCTGGCTGTTCTGTGAAGGGCCATGTGAGAAACCAACACTTGATACAGGATTTGTTTGGAGCTTTAATTGACTTCCCAGTCCAGGTGCTCAGAATGATTAATAATGTGAAAATATGATTCATTTTTAATTGGATATTCGGTCACTTTTCCTTATGGTAAAGACTTTCTGCTGTAAGAATTATACAGATCAGCATGTTTTTAAGGATTTTAACTCGTGATTTTTTTTACATGTGGCTGCTGTCTCTTTCTACTTCCACTGCTGAATTTCCAAGCATAATTTATAGATTAAAAGATATTTACTTTCCAGAAATTTCATAATGCAACACTTTAAGTAACTTATTTCTGTGCCATTCCAACTCGGGTGCCTTCAATCACTGGAATAAAACTCCTTTGAAGGCCCGTGAGTTCAAGAGTTCAAAGTTACCTTCTCTGAGACATTGGTGTTGTGCAGACTGGGATTTCCAAACTCCCCTGAACTGCTGTTGCTAAGAAATAGATTTATGTTGAGTTCATCTCGATGAGCAAATCTTGTCTTGTTTGATTTGCAAATTGTACAGATATTTCTAACACATCACATTCCGGCCTGACCACAGGCTCCTGCTGGTCTTCAGCCGTGGCAAGCAAATGTTTCTCACCCGAGTCAGCAGAATGCTCAATTTCTCTTCTGCTGTCCTTTGTTGGTGCCTCTTTCAGCTTAAAAAAGAAAAGAAAAAAAAAAAAAATCATGGGAAGAGGGTGAGGGAAAGGCAGTTGGTGTTCAGGATCTTACATGCCTTGAGTTTTAGTGACTTTTCCTGGTTTGGCAAGGAGCACATCCAAATCACCCGGGATTTAGTGTTTGGTGTGATGGGGTTTGAAACAGTTTTTTGTCTTTTCCAAAGGTAGAACTGCAGTCACAGTCCAAATGGGACATCTGAGAGGACTTCCCCAAGTGTTGAAACAAACTGAACTCTTGCAGGGAGGCAAAACACTCAGTATTTCCTGCAGCCCCACGCAGAGGAGGAGGAGGAGAGGGTGGAGGAGCTGTTATTTGTGAAGAGGATTAAAAAACTGGATGAGAATGAATCCTCCTGGCTGTAGAGTCAGGGTTTTCCTAAGGTGGCACCTCGAGCCTGTTTGAAGCTGCTTTGTGCTCCATTCAGAGTTAAACCATCACTAAATAGAAATTATCCCCCCAGTCCTGCTCCTCCTGCCAGCCCTGTTCAGCCAAGTGTTGTTTGGAGGTTCTTGGTGCCCAGGGCTTTGGGGAAGCTCCAGAAGCAGAGGTTGGGGGTGTTGCTCTGAGCCTGCCAGGCCTGGGGCAGAGTCCCTGTGACCCACAGGACACCTGGACACAGGAGGAGGACACTGGATTGCTCTGCTTCCCTTGGCTGGCTCTGCTTCCATCCCACCCTTCATCACTCTGAACGAGCCATTTGCACTTTATTCCTCGTTCCAGTTCAAATGTGCCTTCTGTGGTTTCCACCACTTCAACTTTTTTCCATTATAGAATTGTTTACATTGCTCTGGGAGAGTTCTGTCCCCTTGGCCTGGCCTTCAGGTGGCGTTTGCAGCTGTTTTGTGAAATGCCTTTATTTATTTTTTTTTTTCCATTGGCTACTCCCTGTGAAATTTTTCTTTTTGCAGACATTTGTTGAGACTGGGAGGGCTCTCAACAGGAGGGTTTTGAGGTTTTTCAGCCACTTCCAGGGTGGCAGCTCTGCTGGGAGGAGGCTCCTGCAGCATCTCCAGTTGGGCATTTTGTCCTTGTGTGTTCCCCTGGGATTTTAGGATCTGCTTTCTTCCACTCTGGGAGGAAATTTGGGTGATGCTGAAGCCCTGCAAGGACTGGGGGCTGCTTATCACTGCTGATAGAAGTGATTAAATTGGTCTAAATAAGCTGGCTCTAGTTCCTCTGTGCCATGGTGTGTATTCCAAATTTTGTAGAAGTGAAAGCCCCACCTCTGGATTCTGTATCTCATCTGTGGTCATTTACAACTCAAACACGGGGGAATTTCCTCCATGCAAATCTGCTTTTCAGGAGAGTTTCACTGCAAATTTCTGCAGATGAAAAGCATTCATTTTAGGATGATGGCTTGACACTTTTGGTTTGTTTTTTTTTGTCCCAAAGTAGCTGTCAAACCTAGGGAGGGACAAGCAGGGGATGGGATTAAATTCCCCAAATTTCAGAGTGGAGAAAGAGGTTACCAAGTTTGCCATAAATGTACTTCACAATTTTAGGGAAGTTTCAAATCTCTTTGCATCTGCCCTTGATGAGTGAAATAGAGAGATGTTATTTATTTAGCTCTGAAGCTGCTGTGGAGATGATCCTGCTACAGGTACCAAGAAGTTTATTGCCATTAGGACCTGTAAAAATATTAATAATAAAAATTATTACTCATTGGTTCATTCTTCCAGTCTTTGTTCTCCCTTCCATATCAAAATCTCTCTTTTATATCAATTTCTGGATTCCCTCTTATTGAGTTTTATTTCATTGAACCTTTTTCTTCTCCCTTCATTTATCATCTCACAGGTTTTGTATTTCTACAATCCAAAATACACCCAAGCACTTGAAATAAATAAAAGATTTTTCTTGCTATCAGAGCAGCTTGTCCTTTACCAGTTACATGCCAGAAGAATGGGTTTATTTTGAATTGTTTGCATATGACAACAGTAATTGCAAAAAATATAATTGATATTTTATTTCAACATTCTTAATTCACTGCCACTGAAAAATTCCAGCGTGGATGTCATTGCCTCAGTCCAGTGCTCTGAAATGTTGGTGAGTGAAGCTCATTTTCCAGCAAATGCTGCAGTGCTGGAGCTTCCCCTTTAGTGTGGGCCCAGGATTTGAGCCTTTAATGTGCAAATGAAACTTTTGGGGGCTGCATTCACAGGCAGCTCCGGGATCCCTGTGCAGGGAAGGGCAGGGCTCAGCTCTGTCACACTTTCCCTCTGTTCTGTAAGAAATTGAGCTTTTGAGGAGTATATCAAACTCCCTTATGGCTCTAATAAAATGAAAATAAATGAAGATTGCAAATAAAAACGTAGAAGAAAATTGCTGGCAATATTTCCCAGCACGATGTCAAAAGCCATCAAATAATGAATAGCAGAAGTTAAGGTTTGTGTAATTTGTTCTGCACTTAATGAAACTTTTAGCTTTATTTAAATCTAAATTTTACATAAAGACCTCGTTTTAAATTTTATTTATTCCCCTCCCTCTTCCCTGGACAGTGTTTCCATGACCTTTGTTAAGTGATTGTTTTTTAGCTACAATGTCTGGTGTTCAGATTGTTTGAATTGCTTCTCAATTCTTTTGTATTAAAAATAATGGCAATTCTTTCAGGTTTATAAACTGTGTAGCAGTTCATTCCTTGAATAGAGTTTTATGCTCGTTTTATTTGGAGGTCTGTCCAAAAAAATCTTTTATTGTAAGATGGAGGCTAAAATTAATTCAGTTAAATGGGATTTAAATAATGTTTAAGTTTTGAATTACATTTCAAACCATTTTTTAGCAAAAAGCAGTGAGGTCACTTTCTTGTTTAGTCAGAAAAAACAGGCACAAATTAAACAACTGGATGTTGGAGGAAAATACAGAAGTTAAGGAAGTCTGCTGCAAGATGTCATTAAACCCAGTCATTAAAAAAAATCAATATGTAATTTAAATGCCTAATCCTCTAAAAGCAGCAGTAGGGAAAACACCTCCTCTAATAAAGCTGTAGGTCATAAATACCTTAAGGAGAACATTGTAAAAATTTGAAAATCCCTGTTTTGCTTTTTTTTTTTTAAGTAAAGATTCTAATTTCTCCTTGGCAACCTCCTAAGTGGCAGGGCAAAAGCTGAAAGGCTCCCTAACATTTTAGTGGATCAAAAGAAAGATTTATTTTTTTTTTAAAGTACATTAGTAGCTCAACATTGTGATTCAGATGGTCTTAGAATAAACTCCAACAAACAAGAATTTTACATAAATAACATTTTCAATGGCCAGAGTGAGAAGCATTAAGTTTTAGCCTAGGGACAAATAGTGGGGGGGAGCTAATTTTAATTTTTATTCTAACTCACATAAAATACAATTGAAATTTCTTTTTTTTTTTTTTTTTTTTTCCCAGGGTCCACACATAGCCTCAGTCACTCTTGCTGCCTATGAATGTAACTCTGTGAATTTTCCTGAGCCTCCTTACCCGGATCAGATTATCTGCCCTGATGAGGAGACAACTGAAGGCTCCATCTCTTTGTGGGCAATCATCTCAAAAGTCAGGCTGGAGGCCTGCATGTGGGTAAGGCTTGTTTAAAAAAAAACAAAAAAAACCCAAAAACCTGCAATTTCCATTCATGTATTTCATTTCTGTGACCAGCAATAGACAAAAATTCCTCAATTAAAAAAATAATGATGGGTTACACTGCCCAAGGTAATGTGAAAAGTTGCCTTCCTGGTGAACCTTTTAGCCCTGATCATTTTAATGCTTTTTAATAGTTTTATTCCTGGGATATTTTTAGCAGCTGCAGTGCTGTTTGCTAAATACCAGCAGAAAACTTGAAGGCTGTTGATGTAAAAAGTAAATTTTAGGAAGGGTGTCTGCACCCCAGATGATCTGGCAGCTCTCAGGTCTAAGCAAGAAATAATTCCAAAAAGTTTGAGCCTGTAACACGAGTGAAGCTGCAGTTCCTCATCTCACAGCTTGTTCTGGGCTGCATCAGTAAATTGGATTAAATTTTTTTAAATTATTTACCACATTTTTACATATTTTCTTTCTGGTTTTCTGCCTGTTTCCACTTTTCTCTTAAAAGCTGACTTGCTTTTCCTGTTGAAGTGAATCAGGGTCTTAGGAAACGCTGTCATTGGAACTTCCTTTCCCTTTTCCTCTTTTTTTTTTTCTCTCTGCAGCTTCTTGTAGAAGTTTAATTTTTGGAGGATTTTGGTCAGCCAGGCTGTATTTTTCATTACATGTAGATCATTTTGAATTACAGTTTACACAGATGCATCTGCTGTGAACTACATGCCAAATTAACTTTATTTTGCTGCTGACTTCCTGTCCTAGCTGATGATTTAATTACTAAATTCTTGGTTGTCTAACTCAAATGCAGAGAAAAGGAAATTCTAAAAACGGTATCTGATGCCTGCCCTGGTATTCTTTATATAAGGCAGCTGGTCACTACAATTTTTTAAATAGCAGCAGTTGTGTTAGTTACAAAAAATTCCAGTCAGGTTGTGTGAGTTTAGAGACTAAAATCAAAATAGTAACAGAGAAAGTGGAATCACAGCCCTGTCAAAAAGCAAAGTACAGCTTAAATTTCACTCCTAATGAAAGACCAACACTGCCTGAATGCTAAGTAGCTAAACATACAAATACTTTCAAGACTATAAATATATATATAAGATTTCTTTTTATTTTCTTCCTCATCCCCCTGTGCTGAAATCTGTTTAATGGAGACAAGCAATAAAAATGGCATTTACAGCTACGTTTCTAGGGTTGCAAAATAAAAATGCAGCTGAGGGTAAACATCTCTTGCTTCATCTGCAGGATGTAAAAACTGAGCTATGAGGAGAATTAAGTTTAGAACAGAGCTGCAGCCTCTGGAATCTCGTGTCCTCCAGAGCAGCCATGAGGGAGAACAAGCAGTGCCTTCGTGGCCTGAGTTCCTTGGATTGGATTAGGGAAAGGACAAGGGGAAAGGAACATTTATATCCCACTTTTTTCACCCTTTCCCCTCCTTCTTCAGATTCCGTCAGCTACCTTTGCTCTGAACTCTGTCTCCTCTGGCTTTTCCCTCGGGAGCATCCTCTGTCTACCAGTGGTGTCTCATGTCATGTTATGCTTTCTTGGAATGTTTCATGAGTACATAAACATTGCCTGCTAATTTCCTGTAAGCCAAATCAAGTTGGCAATTGCTGCTGCTGCTTCCAGAGTGTTTCTTTTGTCCTAATTCCAGCTCACTTCTCATGGAAGCTGTGGAAGAGAGTTATTTTGGATTCTGTCACTCTTAAACTAAACCTCCACTTAACAAAGATAATGGTGACTTCCAGAAAGTGGAATCAAAGAACACAAGAAGATTTTGCAGATCATCCCAGGATGACTTTGCCCAGGCTGAGAGTCCTGTGGGGTGAAATGTGAGCATTTATGTGCACAAAGGTCACAAAACCAGCAGCAGCCAACTTCAGCTAGAGATTAAAATCATTCCTAGTCCCCAGCATGTCAGTGATGGCCATTCCTGCTGAAAATGAGCGTTACAAGGATTAAATATCCCTGTGCCCAAAGAATTATTAGGTGGGATGAAAATGATGCTTTTTTTCAATCCCTGTAAAAGTTGGCTCCAGCAGCCCTGGCCTGCAGAAAGGCTCAGAAACAATCTCTTAGGTGAATGCCAGTTTTCACAGCCTCCCATCCCACAGGGACAAGGAATTCAATAGTGCCCTATATTTTTAATGTGTTGCAGCCTTTTTAGTTCTTTACAAGAAATAAGGGGAAAGAATAAAAATGTTTAATTGCTTGGGATTAGCAGAACAGGCAGCCTGTGTCCTGAGCAGGATCAAATCTGTTTAAAAGACTCTTTCTAGTGGAGTCATTTCCCAGTTTCCTTTTCTGGATGTAAAAGAATTTTGATTAGCATTTGCCCTTCCAGTTTGTTATGAGTCCAAGGAATCTCCATGTAAAACTGGCATTCAGTTAAATGGTGAAAATATCTAATGTTACAAAAAGCAGTTAAATAGTTACTGGTTTGGAGCCCTTAATTGCTGCTTTTTTCTTGGGTTTTGTTTTTTTTTTTGCTTTTATGCACTTAAGGAACCTATCTCCAGCAGACATGAAATCATATGATTTTTGTTGCACTTCTGAAATGTTTTGTAATAATGAGCATGTGACTTATCCAATTTAAAGAAAGTTCATGTCCAGTACACACATGCAAACCTCTTCCTCAGTTCACAGAACGAAGCCAAAGCAAATTGGCAGAGCCTGGAGGAGCAATGTGACTTTTTCTTCTTGCATCACCCTGAGAACATAACCTCAAGTTAATTTTTCTGAAGTGTTGTTGCTACTGTTTTCAGGCTTATCTTCCCCTTGTGCCAGAAATATGCAGATTAATGAAGTTCAGCTTGTTGCAGTCATTTAAATTTTTTCTTCTGTGGAAAACAAGGGCATAAACATTTGAGGCGTGCACTTCGGGTGCTTAAACTGAGAATTTAACAGCTTGGGTAACTGCGGTGGTATTTAAAACCACAACCTGTTGATTTGGAATATCCACAGCAGCTGGAATTCTTGCTTGCAGCTGTGTATAGAGCAGGAACAAAGGAAATTGAAAAGCTTTCACGTTGCTTCAAAGGAGGAGAAAAGCGTTTGTTACTCACTGCTGACCCTGGGAGAGAAAAGCCATCTGCAGGGAGCACATTCCCGTGCAGTGCCCAGCTATTGTCTCTTACCTGCCCTAAATTTAAACCATCCTGAGTTAATTCCAAGTTCCTGTTCCATTAGCCTCTGTTTATCCATATGTTCAATCTTAGCTTGTCTCTCTTTTTTCCCTTGGTTAAGCTAAAGCTGCCTTTACCCACAAGACTGAAATGAGTCATTTGATGTCCTGAGAAAACAAATACAATTTTCCTGCGGTGAGAAAGCAGCCGTCCTTTCATCTGGGGCTGGCTCCAGCTATCCCAGCTGAAGGAGAGGGAAAACTCGAGCTCAGGCTTTGCTTAACCTTTTTTTTTCCTTGCTGTAGTAAAACCTTGAGCCTGTTTTCTAACAAACGCTTGCCCAGAGTCTCATGACTGAACAAGCAAACTCCGGGACAGCACTTGGGGAGGAGCTCCCGGATTATTCCGGAGGCCCCTGGGGATCCAAGGGCTGTCACATGCTGGGGAATGTGTCTGGCATCATGTGGTGGGGTGAGACACAGCAGTGCTGACTCAGGATGTGTGGGATAGGGACGTGGGGGACAGCAGGGACGTGGGGGACAGCAAGGCCACCAGCTCCAGCCTCCCACGGCTCTGGCCACACGCCACCCCACGGGGCCCCAGGGATGCACAGGTCAGGTCTGTTTGACCCTGCAGCCCCCAGGCTTTCCCCTGCACAGGGAAAAAAAAAAAAAAAAAAAAAACGGGAAATGGGGATTCAAAGGGAAGAGCATTCTGTTGGAAATGATGGGAATTCTGACCTGGTGGATGAAAGCAAACTGCTCCAAACAGCTGGTCTTGTCTGCTCGGAGAATGGCCACGGGATTTGTGTGTGTCACATGTTTTGTGTTCGGGAATAAACAGGAAAATAAATCAGGATTGTTCTTTTCCCAGGGTGCTGGTACAGCCATTGGAGAGCTGCCCCCATATTTCATGGCGAGGGCAGCCCGGCTGTCGGGTGCTGAACCTGATGATGAGGAGTACCAGGAATTCGAGGAGATGCTGGAACACGCAGAGACTGCACAAGTAAGGACAGTGTGCAAAACAACAGAATTAATAAAACACAGAGCAACTAACAGGGAGTAAATAACCATTCCAATTAAACCAGAAAGGGCCAAAAAATCCGTTGGTGTGAGTTCACAAGAGACTTCCCAGGGATGGAAAAAGATCCTGCACTGGGTGATACCTGTGGTGATGGCAGGACAAGAATGCAGCTTGTTGAAGCAGATAAAAAAATGCAGCCAAGTATTTGCTACAAATACTGCAATTATTTAGAGTTCCAAGAACAGCACAATAAAGGTAGGGAGACACTGGGCTGGGAAAACAGGGGTAGAGGAGTTGCTGTTCCATAATCCTGGCTGTTCTGGCTGCATTTAAAGCCTCCCTGGGCCAGAGATGATTTTCAGCCTCAGCTCATCCTTTTAGATGACATTTACCTGCCTTGCCACTGATACCCTCAGGGACCAGCGTGTGACCCATTCATCAGCCTGAGGAAACGTTTTTCCTTGATGTGGAAATGTAGCAAAACTGCTCCAAGTCCCTTTTTGTTACTCTTGTCATTTCTTTTTTCCAGGGGTTAAATATTGCACGGTTTGCAATTGTTGCTGCACATCAGTCAGGTAGTGCTGTGGATAATTTTTCCTTCAGGTCAGGAGTTTGTATCCTGGTCACAAGTTCCTGATAGTGTTTTCGACGAAATTAAACATTTTTTCCTCATGCTGCTTGCCACCAAATTTTTCCCTCTATTTTTCCTTCTTATCCTGTTTTGTCTGCCACTGAGTTGAAATGGGTCATGAGACTTCTGTTAAAAACCAGCAGATGCTATTTACCATGCACTGATGTCTTTAAACTCCTCTGCCAGGGTATTTTCTGGACATAAATATATACTTTTTTTTCCCCTCCTTCAAAAAAAAGAAATGAAGCTTTTCCATGAAAGTGGTTTGTCTGGAAATACTGAATGCAATCTAGTAATTCTAACAGTAAACCCTGTGTTTCCCGAGAGCCTCCCCCTGCTAGAAGGTTCCAAAGGGTTTTTCTGCTATTATAAATAGTAAAATCTTCTATTTTTTTAAAGATGCAGCAGGGGGGAAAAAAAAAATCTGCTTTGTTCTTTACTCTCCCATCAATCTTTGCTTTGCAAAGTAATCCCTTAACTGTACAAAAATCAAGTTGTGGTAAAAAAAACAACAACGAAACCAGTTCAATACATGACTTCAGTATCTGTGTTTACTGAAACTCTCCCAGCAAATGATATGTGTGTACAGTTGTGGGAGCAGCCAGAGATGGTTTCCAGAACGCACAGTGAGATTCTTGGGAAGAAAATTTTTGCTAGAGAGCATTTTGTCAGGCCAGGCCAAACTATAGCTGTATTGACTGCCTGGAGTAAACAAATGGCCTTGTGGAATTAATGAAGAAAAATGATGCTGTTATTTACCAGTACTTTTGATTTTATTTTCTTGGCAATTGAGTTTGGATTGAAGCGTGTTGTTTTGTGGATGGATAGCCAGGAAAAGAAAAAAAAAAATCTTTCAAACTCCACTTGTGGTTTGGTTTCTATAAACTCTTTTAACATGAGGCTTTGACAATCTGATTAAATTGTATTGTGCTCATAAAACTGACAGTTCAGTTTTTTCCATTTGCTAATGTGACTTCCTTTTTGCTTTTGGCTTCAATCATGTTTTCTCTGGATGTCTGTGGGAGACAGGCCTGCCTTTCCTATGACCTCTGTAAATCCCAATCTCCAGCATAGCTTATCACTCTTTGCCCTGTAATTTGTATTCATGAGCAGTGCTGATGTCTATTTTTAAATTGCTCATTAACAATTGTTATTACCTCCATCAGCTTTCTCCCACTCTGCCGAGTTTGAAGCCTCACACGGGGGCTGTGACAAGTGTCCTGTGCCTTGGGGATGCTACAAATGCTTGATGTCGAGTGACAGGAGCATTTTTTTCAGTATAAAGGTCTCTTTGCATCCAGCTTTTTTGGAAAGGTTTGGCAATGGGTGTTGGATTTTGAAGGAGAGCTGAGCTGCTCTGTGCCTACGAGGCAGAGCCAGCTGCTTTGACGTTTTAGCTGCGTGTGTGTTGTTCAGAGAGCTCGTTGCTGCTGTTTCTCAAAAACAATGGTCATTTGGAGAAACAGATGAGCATCTTCTCTGGTGAGAATAGATCGTGGCTACAGCATCCAGCCTGAAGGATCTGGGAAGGGGGGAATGTGTTCCTGGCTGGGCCACAAGAAAAATCGGCCAAAAAAGAGACCTAAGAGGATTAAACAGCGTAAAGGTTTAGTGCTCCATTCAGAGTTACACAGACTAAAATGCCGTTTACTTTAAGGAGTTTATTGATGGATTTTCTGTCCTGAGTCTCAGATCTGAGTGACCTGTCTCCTTGTGCTGCCTTTTCAGAGAGCTCATTAACCTGCAGCCAAAGTGTCTGTCCTGTACTTCCCGTGAGCACACTTGAGAAAAAGCCCCTTATTTTAAAGGAACATTCACTTCTCCTTCCTCTGTGTCCCTTTGTGTGCTCACCAGTGAGTCCCAGTTCTGTGCAGGGAGGGTCAGAGCTGCCTTGTGGCCATGCCCTGCACAAGGAGTGGTTTTTCTTTGTCCCCGGAGCTGCCACAAGGCAGAGCCCAGCAGACAGACAGATTTGTTCATACTGGGATTTGTTCATACTTAAGGCAGCATTTAAAACCCACCAGCGTTTCAAACAGGCATCTCAGCTGCTGTTAACTCCCTTGCAGTGGAATTCCAGAGTGAAGGAGGGTTTTATCAGAGCTCCCCTTTTAGCCACAGGGAGTATCTCCAGTGCAGCAACCTTTCAATTAGGGGAAGTGAATGCACTGGGGCAGCACTTTGGTAATGACACAGTCACAGACACTCGGTGCAGTTTTGTGTCCCCACACACACATGAGCAGGGACTCTCTTTTGCCAGTTTAATAGTTGCTGGTCGGTATTTTTTTCTCGGTTCTCTGTCATGCTGAAACACTTCAAGCTGAAGAGTGAAAAAGCAGCTTTTGGTGCCAGCTTCCCTCAGGGTACTCGGTGCCTGAGCCTTGCTGGATCCTGGTACTCCTTGCTAAGAGGGGAAAGTACTGCTATCTTTGCATATCTAATCCTTAATGGCTCTGAGTGTTTGGCTTCATTAAGTGGCATTTCTGTAAGAACTAATGATTTACACATCGGGGGGTTTGCTTCTGTGCAGCTTCGCTGCAGCCAAATTTCCATATAAAAATATTTTCTAAGTTGCCTATGTTACTATCAGCCACTGCTGTTTGTTTACTCTCCAAGCTGTGTCCTGCCTGGGGAAGAATACAGGCCTGGAGAAGGGTTAAATCCATAGAAGTGCCGGGATGCAGCAGGACTGGTTTGGAAATGACTGAGTGCCATCTGCACACTGGCTGTCAGTTGTTGCTGGGACCTGTTTTTGCCTCCACTGAACCTTTACTGGTTGTGGTTTGTCTGGCCATCACATGACTTCTCTGAAAATTCCCCCTCCCCTCCATTTCCAGTAAACTGTTTGAACAGGAGTGACTCAGACTGAAACCAGCTTCCCTGTAACCACAGGGCTTGTTAAAGAATTTGTCAACGTGGACTCGAGAGGGTTTGTATTAAACTGAGCAGCAACCGCCTGCCTTTGGTTTGGTCAGGAGTTCCAGTTCCAGCCAGCCCCTCGCTGCTCCCCAGGGCTGCAAGGGGTTAAACCCGCGGTTCTCTCATGGTGACACTCACACACGTCCTTTCTAAAAACCGGCATTGCTCCTCCACATCTTCACTGCTCCGTGCTGGAGCCGAGCAAAGTCCGTGCCACACCCGGGGGAAGCCAGCGCTGTGTTCTGACACGACACTGACTTCACTCGCGGGGAATGATTAGGCACGACTAATGAGTGAAATCTCACTTAATTAGCAGCGTTTGAGATGGCCAAATTCAAAACGGATCTCTCCCGTGATTAAATTAACAGCTCCCATCTGATAAGTTCCTGCTTGAAAAGGCTGCTGGCTTGTTTAATCAACAGCGTTTAAGGGTGCTTGGTACAGGAAAAAAGAAGTTAAAGCAGACCACAAGCAGGTTTTTATAAAGCATTTATCATAAAAATGGAAGTGGAAGGGTTCATGTACGATAACTGGGAAACCTTGACTTCTCTTTTATTCCTTTTTTTTGTTTTCCCAGAAATCATTTGTTAAAACAGAACATCAAATTCCACTCATCCTTTCTCTCACTCAGTCTTCCCTTTCCTCATCAGCTTCCTCTCTTGATTAATTGTGCTGCACAAGGAGGTTGCTGCTGTGGGTGGTCACCAGAGGCTGCTCCTCACACCCTGCATTCCTCAAGTTTGATGCCTGGATTTGTTAATAGCTCTAGGGGAGGTTTCTTCCCTCTTTTATGGTGCCCTGTAATTAAATAGAAATTTAGAACTGATCAAACCTTGAAGCTGCTCTTTAGAAACTCCCCACGAGTGCTGGGGGGGGGTGAGGTGACAAAGTGACAATGTGTTTTCACAAACAATCTAACAAGCAGTGAATACACCGAATAACAGCTCCGTTTTGATCTGTTCTCTAAAATTACCGAGTTTAAAACAAGTTTTGGAATGAGTCAATGACAGCTTTAAATAAAGGAACTTGATCTTGAGCACTTCCTGAGAAAAGAGGTAGCAAAGAGTTAAAATAGGCAGAGGGAAGACAATGAGAGCTGTGAGTAAGGAATGTGTAAAGCACCTCCTGGTTGGATTTCTTTGGCCACTGGCAGGAGAACGTGCCCACATTGTTCTATTCATTTGCACACCTGCTCACAGATAAGGAAAAAAACAGCACAGGGCATTGCACTAATTACTCATGGTGACTGGAGATGACTTTTTTGAGTTCTGCTTTGAAGGGCTCTTTGTGTCTGTTCCCTAAAAAAATTATTTTAGTGTTCAGTGTGTGAATACATAAATCAGAAATCACCCAGATAATGAGGAAAGCTAGGTTACTTTGCAACATTTTCACTCGGTATTAGGTCAGGAGGATTTTCTCAGTAACAAATTTCTCA